TTATGCTAGGACAAAAACAAGGAAACAGATATGGTGGTTTCGTCACAGGGGTAGTGCGGTTGTATTCATTGATACAAAGAAACTATTTACATAGGGACTTACCCACAAAACTTAACTATTACATTTTCTACTGCTACAAATACTACTGCGGCCACTCGACGACTTCGCCTGAAACGCCAGAAATCGCCCGGTTCCGCTCCTTCAAAACTTCGGCAAAACGCAACGGGTACCTCAAGGGCGTCGCACCTATAGATGCTCAGCAGAAGAACATGGAGCTCCTGACCTTCTCATGTAGTTGAGGCAGCTCCTAGGTGCGAGGTATGGTCGCCATGGCTGGAAGAAATCTCATCAAACTTTATGAACTGGCCGACTTGAGCAGCTGTAGGCACGAAACCCTCCACCGGCACAATCGTGAGTAACCTCCCCTCCGACGAGGCTCGCCCGATAAAGATCCACCAGAGAGAGTCTACACACAGCTCCATCCCGAAGAAGGCCTCGCAGATCAGATCCAGCATCACCACCAGTCCGACATCACGCTCCGGGCTCACAAAAGGATCTGTAAGTCCTCCCCCTCGCTCACTCTCTCTCACTTAGGAACCGCCGCGGCATACAGGCACTCTCGGTGAGAAGGAAGAAGGAAGAGAGACAATAGTTGGAGAACAGGTAAAGGATTGCGACGGAGAGCCCTCTCCCTCCCCCTATTTAAAGAAAAAAGGTAAACGATCAGAGCACAAAACTCTCCACCTACCGTCATTCAATACGAATGAGAAACGATGGGATGCGCACTGACCGACTGAGCAATGCCGAGTCAGATGGAACGCCACCTGGCAAGACGAAGCGTGGTCGGGGTATGCCCCACCACTGTCGCATGACCGGGCACGAAAACCGAAGCGCCACCACGAGCAGGCAGCTCCCCGCCTCCCCAGGCCTGGCCTGGGAGAGACCAAAAACAAAATCTCCGCCGGGAGACCAACCGATCCCCTGAGCCGATCGAATTGCTCAGGATAAAACACCGGACACAGATAGGAAGCGAAGGGACGCTCCATGTAGGCCATGCCGACTCTGTCACGAATGACGAGCATGGGTCCCGGTCGGACGTTTTTGACTGAAGCTCTCCGAGCCCCGTCACTCCAGTCGTCAAGGTAAACACTGTAAAACCCCCTATATTTCTTTATAAATCATTCATACATCCATACACGCATTCATTTCATACGCCCGCGCCTCCCGGACGATTCGGGCCCTGAACCGCCCGGGGGCTCGGGAACTAAGCATCGCACGTGCAGCGAAATGCACCAGAACGCTCTGTGTTGCGTCATGAAGCGGCGGTTGCCTCATTCGACATAGGCAACCAACAGAGCCAGGGGAGAAAACCGTAGATGAGCACCGTGCGGCCCTCGCCCGGTCCGGCAAACCGGGTCATCTCAAATTTCTCGTTCGATCCTTAACCTCTCGCCAAGCCCACAGAATCTCCATCGAAGGAAGACCATTAGGCCACCCGGGTCGATCTCCGGAACGACCTAGGCATCTACCGAGTTATAGGTAAAGGAGTAGTGGAATGTCACAAGAGGGCTATGCCGACCCCGTCACGAACAACGGACCCGGATTCCACTCGATCACACCCGTTAGCGAACTCACCGAGCTAGTTTTCGAGCCCGAGCGATCGGGACAGGCGACGAAACTTAGCCCCTCCGGTTGTGAGGAACCGAAGATGGGGTAACGCACAATACTCACATCGACCCCCACGAAGGCCCGATAGGGCTCGGGGGCTCAAGAAGAATGCCAAGGACGGCGACCTCGAACTCGCCAGATCCACGACTCCGACTCGCCCGGTCCCACGGCGCGCACCGACGCCAGGATCCGCGAGCATCGCCTCGTCCGATCTTTAACCAAACTAACTACGCTTCGGCTTCAAACGGCTTCACTTCCGACTGCGCTCCAATAAACCCTGGGACCGCAACTCCTAAACTCGCGTAACGGCTTCACTTCCGACTGCGCTCCAATAAACCCTGGGACCGTGACTCCTAAACTCGCGTAACGGCTTCACTTCCGACCGCGCTCCAATAAACCTGGGACCGCGACTCCTAAACTCGCGTAACGGCTTCACTTAGGATCCACGAGCTCCGGCTCATTCAATTCCTGAACTAACTAAACTAACTCTCTTGATCCAGAAGCGCACCGACGCTTCGGGTCCCGTTCAGCGCCCCCGCCTCGCTTTCGATCCCACGGCGACGCGATCGACGCCTAAAGATCGATGAGCTCGACACGTCCGAACCAAGCTATCTCCATCTGTGGCGCGCACCGACGCTGTGGTTTGTCTCGAACTAACCTTCTCACCCGATCCACGGCGGCGCGCGACGCGAGTTAGGATGAAGTTCGATCTCATCCCCACGCCTAAAAATCCCTCGGTCAGCAATGAGAATACGCGCGTGGTTAAACAAAATTCCGTCTCAAACTAAAAACACGACGCTCACATTGAAACAACACCCCAGACGGTTCTACTCGAACCACCCGAGGGGGCTCGGGCTACACACAGCAAGGCAGAAGGCCAAGCACACCCGCCGACACGACGCAAAAAAACCTCTCCCGCCGACAACTCAGAAAACCCCCCCGGTTTCGCCTGCCGAACCGCCCGGGGCTCGAAGACACTGCAGGTGCGCTCTCGCGACCACCGCCAACAAGACAAAAAATCCCGGACGATTCTCGCTCAAATAGCCCGGGGGCTCGGGGGCTCCTGTCGGGTTCATAAACCCGGGGTCCCTCGGGGACCGGCTTCCACGCCAGGGCTCGGTCCAGGAAAACAACACGTAGTTCATAGGCCAGCCCAAGAGTCGAAAACACAACGGGTCGGAAGGGCAGCCCGGTCGCCGACCGGAAGGTCTACCCAAAAGAACAAGCGCCCGCTCGTCAATCTCTTCGGCCCACCTCTTCGACCGGAGCAAACGCTTCGGGCACCAGCCGCATCCGGGCGGTCTCTCCGATCGGAAAGGCTCGCCTAAAACATCGCTTCCTACCCGGCCAGCGTCTCCGACCGGGACCCGTAGGAATCATCCGCTTACCGCTTCTTCTTCGATTTGGCGCGGCGAGACCAATCGGGGCCATCCGACCGGGGACGCCCGCTCGGAAGGGACCAGGGGCGAACGGGGAAGGCAGTGCACAAAGTCAAACCACGATACTTGGAGCATACCCTGTACGCCTGCGGGAACAGTGCTCCTCAACCGCCCTGACAAAAATAGTATTGTAGGCGCCAACATTTGTGTCTACAGTATTGTAAGCGTCATTGGGCTCCCATACGGCAAAAAGCCCCCCATGCCTCTCGGCATCGATAGTGGGCGCCAGGATTCACCATACCTGGTACACGTGGTAAGGGCTCCTCACATAACAATAGTATTTTGCAGGTACCGACATCCACCCTTCCTGAAGAAGCCAACGTAACCTCCCATGTGCACTTGACATTCTACAGTGACGTCAACAGTATTGTGGGCGCCTACCATCATCACTGTCCTCATCGGTGTGGGCAACCAGGCTTAGTAACATCCGTACTCTCCTCCTCTCACCTATAAAGCCATCCCCTTCATCTATAAAAGGGGATGCGCTCCCTCCAATGAAGAGGGATCGACTTCTTCAAGCACCAGACTCACTAGATCGATAGCTCACAACCCCTCAAGCACATGCTTGAACACCTAGCTCATAGCGGAGTTCCGGTCGCCCTCGGCCCTTCGGTCGGACCCGACCGGGCCTCTCGTACACCCACCTTTCTCCTTCTCGTTTGTAACCCCACTACAGATTTGAGCACCTGGGCTCAAGAATAAAGTCACCGAACGACCCAAACTGGACATAAGGCACGTTGCCTGTACCAGTATAAATCATGTGTCATTGAGTGTTAGGTCACCTCCGATCACAACGTACAGCAAAATTATAAATATTCACTAGTTGGTCACTTTCTGTACCGACACCGAATGTTTTACCTATTACAAAAACAATGCAGGCAGCATTTACAAGGCTAGAAAGCCTAATAAAAACCACCAAATTGCTACATAGAATACATAGAGTACCAGATGATGAAATGTGAAATCCAGAAACAAACAGGGAAGAAGGTAAACATAATTGATGGGAGATAATAGTATTGACACCTGCTAAGTTTGATACAAAAGTAGGATCTATGGCAAATTAATCTTCTTGAAAAGGATTTATTCTGAAATCAACTGGCTACTCAAAAGACGTCAGAACTTCCATAATATTTCTTCGATGGAATTTTCAAGGAAATAATATGTTCTTCAAAATAATATTGTAAAATTATTGATTGGACAACAATAGTCCAAATGGATAAAATCGAAACCTTCATTGACCAAAAACAATCTCAAGTTCTGATCACCCAATGAAATGATCATGACCTTCAAAAGAAATCACACATTGGGCATACTCCAATGTTACAGTATTACACTCAATTGGGAACATTACTTAGTAATTACTTTACTGTAAACAATTACTTCAATATCAAATCCATTTATTATCCAAATGTAATATTCCCTTCCGAGCACTCTGCAGCAATCATATACTCATAGCCCCATGAGCACTCTAGAGTAATCAACCCACTAGTATGGAGTATGGTTCAGCTGATCAAGATGCATCTCCATTGATGATACCACCTCATAGCTATCTGGACCCTGAAGCCCCTTTGTACACCACATGCACGCATAGTTCACATAGAGGTAAAACTGCAATTCATGCTTTAGAATTTACCCGGGTTTAGCAAATACAAACACTTCTAGCAATCAACTTTCTTGTACTGAAAGTTCAACAATATACCAACAGGAATTTAGTCATGCATATGCATCTAAGCAAACGCAGAACCTAAGACCTTAACCCCGACCAAATTTGTTTATTGACAAATGGAAATCTTAATAATAAAAAGAAAAGAAAGCTAGTTTCTAGCCCGGTATCTACGAACCAACATATCAGACAATGGAACAGGAAAGAAAAGTGTGTTCACCACTCACCAGTCAATTCTCCTCCTTAGCGTTGGATTTGCTGTTGGCGTCGTGTTGCGGCTCGGCCCGGGACGGGAGCGGGTTTGACCCCTTGACAAGCCATCCGAGCGCGAAGAAGGCGGCGCCGGCGAGGATGGCGGTGCCCCAGGCGTGGGAGTACCAGCGGCTGTACTGCCGCACGGCGAACCGCCACTGGTCCCGAAGAGTCGCCGCATCGGGGATCGCGGCATCTGGCGGGTTTGGGTACCCGGCGCTGCCCGCGTGCGCGCTGCCGCCGCCGGGCAAGCGGGGGCGAGCGACGCCGCCCTCCGGCTGAGGCGGCGGCGGCAGGGGCGTGGTGGGCTTCTCCTGGTGGTTTGCCATTTCGGCCTTACTGATCGACCGACCACCCACCACCGCTCGACAAGGAGAGGACACAGGAGACAGGAGAGGCAGGCAAAATTGCGTACTGGGCCGAGCACGTGGAGGCCTACCCTAGCACAGTGCACAGCCACGCTCCAGTACCACCTGATGCTCAGCCCACGTCACCCCGCGGGCCAGTTTCAACTTCGATTGGCTGTGGCTTATAATTTTGATAAATTTTCAGTTGAAACAATATTTTTCTCTCACATACAAACCAGCCAGCAGTACTTCTTCACGAACCAGTAACGAAACAAACCAGCCAACCGAACAGACTGACAGTAGCACGGGTGAAAACCGATCACAAGGGGGGAAAAAGAGACCCATTTACATAAGGAAAAAATCCACATTACATCATTAACTTTTGTGAAAGTCTATTTTTCCTCTCTAAACTCTAAAATCGGTTAAACCACCTCCCTGAACTTTTAAAACCGTTCGTTTTCCCTCCCTGACCGGTTATAAGTAGTTTTTAAAGACGGTTTTGTCTTTTTTTATTTATTTCGGTTGAATCTTTAAAAAATCATAGTAAATCACAAAAAATCATAAAATAAAAAATCTAATTTTGTTGGACTCCACATGTATATATCTACACAGTGAATATATAATATGATATGTTTTAGTACAATTTTTTTGTTGTAGCTTTATATCTATGCTTTTCTGTAATTAATTCATAAGCTGTAGTTTCTATAGTTCAACTGCGGTGAAATTTTTATGATGGGCTAATTATTATATGTTTGAACTGTAGTAAAAATTTCATAATCATTGGATCATGTATAACTTAGTTATGGATTTATGAATACTTTTTAATAAGCATACACCTAAATAAATCTTGATGGTTATGCAAGATGTTGCGGCTAAGAAATCGTGTTTGCAGTTTGTATCGAGGGTTGCATGGTGATTCATGCAATGGTCCAAGGATTTGTCTTGGTCTGCATCCTCCATTTCATTTTTGGTACAATTTCAATTTCATATTTTAGGAGACCACATAAGATTCAAATAATTCTAAGGAACAAAAACATTGACCATTATTTTTAGAAAGAAATATATAGCTATTTTCATATTTTTTGAGTTAAAACAAAATTTCTATCAAATTTTAAGGTTAAATCAGATTTTAACATTTTTAAAACATATTTATTTCTTGAAAAATATTTGGACAGTTTTTTGAAAACACAATTCTATATTTTTTAATAAAGTCTTATTCTCCTCTCTTGGGGTGCAAACGGATCAGATACGAACAGATATCGCTGATATTATATTTGTTTTCATATTTTCATTAGGATTTAGATTCGAATACGGGTAGTATCAACTATGTCGGATAGGATACTAATCTATATCGATATAAAAAATATGCGATTTGAGTATTCGGATACAGTATCGGATGTTGAATATCTAAACTTGGGTATGGACAGATCTAAACTCCTCTAATAGATTCATACTCGGATACGGTCGGAAAATATCATTACCGTTTGCACCCCCTGCTCCTCCCTAAAAGTCTAATGGCGCCATGTCAGTTTAAACCGCTTTAGAAACCACTCGGAGAGGTAATTCACATGGTTTCAAAAGTTAGTGGACTCTAAAAATCTTAATTTTATTGAAGGAGGTGAATCGGACGGTTTCCAAAGTTAGAGGGGTCTTAAAATCTAGTTTCCCGATTGAAGGGTAGAAATCGTACTTACACAATAATTGAGAAAGGTCAGATGGACTTTTAATTTTCTTGTACATAGAATCAGTCTGAATATAACTATTTATAATATGTAAACTAGCGAATATGTCTTTGTGTTAAAACAGAAGAAAAAAAATCTCAATGTGCCCATAGCCCACAAGACCCACGCATCCATATTGCTCCTTATTTTTGCTGCCCTCACGAGCAGCAACCATGGTGTCCACCTATGCTGGATACGTCCGAATGTAATCAATGTTAAAAAAAGGTTTTAAATATCCAGCTATAGCTTATATTATTATCGGTGTTTGATGACCGGCAACCCATCACGGGGGTACCCGGGACGGTGTTTGATGGGCTTCGACGAACTCAGGAACTCGACAGTAACGCAAGAGACGACGATTTATACTGGTTTGGGCCCTCGGAATCGAGTAAAAGCCTTTACGTCCAGTCGGCGTGAGCCTTTGCGTTGGATTGCTTTGTATGATTGTGTGTACAAGGGGTACCGCCTGCCTCTCTTTATATAGGGCAGAGGGCAGGGCGGTTGTTCTAGTCCTAGTCGGTTACAATTGGGAGATTCCTTATTCTATTACAGAATCTAGCTTTCTTAGTAAGCCGTCTAGGTCGATCCTTGATGGCTGGAAGTCCACACCACCTTGCTTCATGTCCATCAAGCAGACCATGGGCCAGCCATGGGCCTATTGCAGAAGTCAACCCGATAGGGAACCCTTAGGGTCCTGCATCGACAAGCCCCCGAGCATTTCATGGTTGGTCTTGGAAGTCTTCTTGTTCCTCTAGGTCGTGCCGAGTAGAAATAAGTATTGTCCGAGTACTTTCTGTAGAGAAACCATGGAGTGCTCTTGAAAACTCCAGGTGATGTGCACTTTCCTAAAAAGGGCACTCACCGAGTGTAGTCCCCCGAGTCTCTTGTTGTTTGAGACAAAGAGTTGTAGGGTCTTTTCTATAAATTCTTGAAAAAGAATAAAAACATCCTCTAAGGATATATATCCCTAGCCCCCGAGCCTATGTCCGAGTACTAGTAGTCGGCGCTAGATCTAAAAAGAATATACTCAAGGATGCTGAAGTAATTATTGCCGGACTACTTATCAGAAAGTAGGTGAGGCAATGTATAGTGCTCGCGAAGAGTAAATGCAAGCTGACGCGGAAGCAGGATATGCTCCGAATATGCCGCCCAAGTGTATTGTAGCTTCACGCGCACTAACAAGATGCACTATAAAGGTGTAGTGGGATGCACTGTACCCTGTAATGTAAGTAAGCCTATACTGAATAGCAGGAACTGTTGGCTCCACACTTCATGAACCCAATCCATGAACACCATGTTTGTCCTATAAAAACCCTCCTAGTGAGCTCTTGCATATCAACTGAGGAATAGCAAAGCAACTCTGAGTCTGTAGCCAAGAAATATGGTAGTATGTGAAGTAGAACAGCCCCCGAGTGCTGTTGATAGAAGTGATAGTTCTTGTTTGCAGTTAGAAGAAGTCTTGTGAAAGAGACTAGAAGCAAGATAGTCTCATAGTGGTGCAAAACAGAATGGTCTGTTGAGGCAGGTAGAAGAAGCCTTGTGATGAGAGACATGTTCCCTCATCCAGCAGTCCCATGTCAGTTCTTCGAGCATGCCTGTCGACATCTGTCCATTGACGATCAACTACTAGTCCGAGTGGTGGTGGCATAGTCGGCTTGGGTAGACAGATGTCGAAAGAAGCGCTATTGTTGCCCAAACCCAGTAGACCAAGAAGTTTTGTACCATTGACACCAATCTTGGATGCACTGTGTTGTCACAATAAAAACTATGGCAACAAATCGGATGTGTCCTGCTGAGTAGTAACTAGGAGCTTTGGTTTGGAAAATGGTTACTGAGACCGAGTAGTCAGAATCTTGTAAAGTGTCCAACCCTGTGAAAGCTCTAGTTTGGTTTTGGTGAATTAATGAAACCCTAAGTGCTAACCTAGTTTATCAAGTGATCATAAGATAGATAGCACACTCCAAGTGGTGAAGCAAATAAAGATCATAGCATGATAAAGATGATGGCATGGTGATGATCAAGTGCTTCGACTTGGAAAGAAGAAAGAGAAAAACAAAAAGCTCAAGGCAAAGATATAATTTGTAAGAGCTATTTTGTTTTGGTGATCAAGACACTTAGAGAGTGTGATCACATTTAGGATTGATAGCCGTACTATTAAGAGGGGTGAAACTCATATCGGAATGCGGTTATCAAAGTGCCACTAGATGCTCTAACTCATTGCATATGCATTTAGGATATAGTGGAGTGCTAACACCTTTGAAAATGTTTGAGAAAATATGCTAACACATGTGCACAAGGTGATACACTTGGTGGTTGGCACATTTGAACAAGGGTGAAGAAGTTAGAGGTGAAATGGAGTTGGTCGCAATGATGCTGGCGTCGGACTTCTGACCAGACGCTGGGTCACTCAGCGACCGGACGCTGAAAGGTTGCGTCCGGTCGAGCTGTCAGACAGCACAGTGATTAGGGTTAAGCACCGGACGCTGGGCTATGTTCGATCAAGCATGATCGGACACGTCCGGTCGGCAAAAATAGGATTTGGACCCTTACTGGAAACGACCAGACACTGAGGGTCCAGCGTCCGGTCAACAGTGTCGAAGCGTCCGATCAACATTTTGACCGTTAAGATCAAACGTTCACAGTTGAATGCAGGTGACACGTGGCCACCATCAGGTGATCAGACGCTGAGGACCAGCGTCTAGTCAGTAGGATCGGAGCGTCCGATCAGCCCGATTAGAACCCAGTGAAGGGGTATAACGGCTCTATTTCATGGGGGCTTCTATTTAAGCCCCATGGCCGGGTCAAGCTCACCCTCTTGGCCATTTGCATTGACATAGCAACCTTGTGAGCTTAGCCAAAGCCCTCCCACTCATTTCCATCATAGATTAAACAAAATTGTGAGATTGGGAGTGATCCAAGTGCATTGCTTGAGTGATTGCATCTAGAGGCACTTGGTGTTCGTGTTTCGCTACAGGATTCGCTTGTTACTCTTGGTGGTTGCCGCCACCTAGACGGCTTGGAGCAGCGAGGATCATCGTGCGGAGGGTGGTGATTGTCTCTGGCTCCGATCGTGGTAATTGTGAGGGGTTCTTGACCTTTCCCCAGCAGAGCGCCAAAAGGTACTCTAGTGGATTGCTCGTGGCTTGTGTGATCCTCATCTTATTTTGGTTGTGCGGCACCCTATTGAGGGTTTAGCGTGTGAAGCCAATTAGCGCGTGAACCTCTAAGTGAGTGAATCGCCACAACGAGGACTAGCTTGCC